CAGATAGTTCAATAGACCTTTATGATTGGATATGCTGGAACTGTAATAACTAATAGGCGGAACAACTTGGGTCTTAATACATGTAACTTGAAAAACAATAGTAGTCAAGCTGAGTACAAAGTAAGATTTTGTAATGTCATGTGCAACTTAGATGGCTTGAGTATGGAATTCTCTCACCCGATCCATGGCCTCGGTCAGGTGGCGGATGGTCTCTCTGCAGACGGGTGGCCCCCATTTCCTTGTGGTTCCTCCTTCAAACATAACTTTGGACAGCAGCACTTCAGCCTGCCTGCTCTCAGGGCTGTCTGCCAGACTTGTCAGCAGTGTCAGCGGTCAACAATTGGTTCCCTCTCCTCCACTCTTTGAGATCTGGCCCAGCCTGGACCTCCGGCATTCCACTTGGTCCTCTCCTTACACCTGCTCTCCAGCTCTCTCCGTCCACTTTACGGGCTGCTGTATTTATCTTTCCTGCCCTTCCACCAGCTCCTCTGGGAAAAGTAGTTTGTTAACTCCCTGTTAGACAGTGAAGCAATCAGCTACAAATCCCACAAAGCTTTTCAACGGAGTCTATATAACTGGGCTGCATTACACTGCTATCTTGTGTCCATTTAACATCCTGCAAACAGTATTATGGCAGGGTGTTACTTGTGTATGGTGGCAGTACCAAACGAGCCAACCCCTTTGGTGTGCAGTGGCGCAGCTGCCTTGCACAGTCTTGTTTGATGGAACAGCCATGCTGGTGACCTGATTTTTACTTTTTTCATCTGTAGTTAAGGTAAGCCATAGATTATGCAATTTTCTTTCCTTCAACCATAGATGAAAATTTGGACTTCGCAGTGAGATCCATGTTGTTCTGGGGGCATATTTTACATATTTTGTTACAGCTCCCTAAACGGCAAGTTCTATTCCAGTATGGTGTAGGATGTGAATATACTGATCAATCTCCCCAGTGGGGACACAAGCAGTAAGAGTGACCTGGCATAGGTTCTACCTCTTCTCCACTATATCCAAACGTAGATAAAAATGCTTTGGCTGTAGTTCCTCTTAAAGCTGAATCCAGGTAAACAGCCAAAAACAGATGAAGTACATACAGTCAAAGTTAGCTGTTTCACTTATCAAAGGGGTTTGCCTGTTAATTTGCTTTGCACATGTGCACACATGTGCTTGCATTTGCGCGTATTTGCACACATGCTCATTCTAATGCACAATATATTTCCAGACAAAAACCATTAATATTTATGCTTATATGAGCATATTGGCTTGCACATGAGAGTATTTGCATGCAGATTAATGACCAGAATTGCAAATTTAATTTTTTTTTTTTACTCTTGAATACGCAGTGCTTGTTTACTAATTGTCTGTATGTACAGGCACATTGTAAACAACGGGCTTCATTTTAGATAAGTAAAGAAAAAATTAGCTGTACTGAGCTTTTTCAAGCTGACTTGTCTAATAGGGAAAGGGACCTGAATTTTTTTTCTCTGCCAAAATTTTATATTCACTTATGGGTCCTCTACCCTTTTCCACCCTCTGAACGGACAATGAAAGGAGAAAGAGGCACACTGATGAGCTTGTCTCTCTGTCACGTTGTTCTCTCTTCCTATCAGCATGCTCCTTGCACTGCAGCACAACTGATTGATCCCTTGTGCTGCATCTCCCTCCCATTCTAAAAGGTAAACTGTACGTACTGCACTATAGACTGCACAAGGCTAAAACCAGGTCACATTCAGGTACTTGCACTGCTTGCACTTACAAAAATACATTTCATGCTTTATTAATGATAATAGGGCTGCATATATTAGTCCTAAATATCTGGTTGGGGTTCAGTGTCAAACCGTTCCCTAATTCCTAACATTAACCTTTAAAAAATGTAAAAGGTTTTTTTTTTTGTATTTTGCAATACCATACATGTTACACTTACCTGCCCTGTGCAATGGTTTTGCTCAGAGTCCTCTTCTCAGGTCCCCTGCTGGCAGTCCTGGTTCCCCCCCCACCAAGTGCCCCTATAGCAAGCCACTTGTAATGGCGGCACTTGTGCATACTCACTCCAGAGCCCTGTTCTGTGTGTCCATAAGACACACAGAGCGAGGTTGCCCCCATCAACCACTCCCTCATCACTGCCTCTGATTAACAGCAGTGGGAGCCATTGACTCCTGCTGCTGTATCTGAGCCAATGAGGAGTGAAAAAGCAGAGAGATCTGGATCAAGATTGGGCTCAGGTATGTATTTAGGGGAAGCTGAATGCAGAAGGCTTTTTACCTTACTACGTAGAATGCAGTAAGATAAAAAACCTTCTTCCAACCACTTTAAGCTGATTTCCAGGCAAACTGCTAAACAGTTGTATCTAAATGTATAAATATGAGGGGTTTAAATCTATAAATATATGGGAATCTAAAACTATAACTACAGTGGGGATCAAAAGTTTGGGCACCCCAGCTAAAAATTTGTATTAATGTGCATAAAGAAACCAAGGAAAGATGGAAAAATCTCCAAAAGGCATCAAATTACAGATTAGACATTCTTATATGTCAACAAAAGTTAGATTTTATTTCCATCATTTACACTTTCAAAATAACAGAAAACAAAAAAATGGCGTCTGCAAACGTTTGGGCACCCTGCAGAATTTATAGCATGCACTGCCCCCTTTGCAAAGCTGAGACCTGCCAGTGTCATGGATTGTTCTCAATCATCATCTGGGAAGACCAGGTGATGTCAATCTCAAAGGTTTAAATGCCCAGACTCATCTGACCTTGCCCCAACAATCAGCACCATGGGTTCTTCTAAGCAGTTGTCTAGAAAACTGAAACTGAAAATAGTTGACGCTCACAAAGCTGGAGAAGGCTATAAGAAGATAGCAAAGCGTTTTCAGATGTCAGTATCCTCTGTTCGGAATGTAATTAAGAAATGGCAGTCATCAGGAACAGTGGAAGTTAAAGTAAGATCTGGAAGACCAAGAAAAATATCAGACAGAACAGCTTGCAGGATTGTGAGAAAAACAATTCAAAACCCACGTTTGACTGCACGATCCCTCCAGAAAGATCTGCAGACACTGGAGTTGTGGTACACTATTCCACTATAAAGAGATACTTGTACAAATATGGTCTTCATGGAAGAGTCATCAGAAGAAAACCTCTTCTACGTCCTCACCACAAAAATCATCGTTTGAACTTGGCAAATGAACATATAGACAAGCCTGATGGATTTTGGAAACAAGTTCTGTGGACCGATGAGGTTAAAATTGAACTTTTTGGCCGGAATGAGCAAAGGTACGTTTGCAGAAGAAGGGGCCCAGAATTTAATGAAAAGAACCTCTGTCCAACTGTTAAGCATGGGGTTGGATCAATCATGCTTTGGGGTTGTGTTGCAGCCAGTGGCACAGGGAACATCTCACGAGTAGAAGGAAAAATGGATTCAATAAAATTTCAGCAAATTTTGGATGGTAACTTGATGCCATCTGTGAAAAAGCTGAAGTTAAAGAGAGGATGGCTTCTACAAATGGATAATGATCCTAAACACACCTCGAAATCCATGGGGGATTACATCAAGAGGCGTAAACTGAAGGTTTTGCCATGGCCTTCACAATCTCCTGACCTCAACATAATTGAAAATCTATGGATAGACCTTAAAAGAGCAGTGCGTGACAGACAGCCCAGAAATCTTAAAGAACTGGAAGACTTTTGTTAGGAAGAATGGGCAAAGATACCTCAAACAAGAATTGAAAGACTCTTGGCTGGCTACAAAAAGCGTTTACAAGCTGTGATACTTGCCAAAGGGGGCAGTACAAGATATTAATTCTGCAGGGTGCCCAAACTTTTGCAGACACCATTTTTTTGTTTTCTGTTATTTTGAAAGTGTAAATGATGGAAATAAAATCTAACTTTTGTTGACATATTATAAGAATGTCTAATCTGTAATTTGATGCCTTTTGGAGATTTTTCCATCTTTCCTTGGCTTCTTTATGCACATTAATACAAATTTTTAGCTGGGGTGCCCAAACTTTCGATCCCCACTGTATATGGCCCGATGGCGTCACTTATGACGAAACATGTCGGGCGGAGCTAGGATGCGCATATGTCACCAAGCACACAGATTGTCCATCTCTGATACTGGAATTGTTTGTGCAGTACTGTTCATTTGGATGTGAGTGTTCTACCTTTTTAATCAATAACATTTTTTAAGTGTTTTTACACCATTGGGAGTGCTTCCACTCTTGTGTTCTCTATACACGATAATGATCTTACTGCCGAGAGGAGTCTAGATGGGGTATACATCCTTGCCTGCGGGGGAACTTATTACCATCGCTTTTATGACTGCTCTATAACAGGAGGGTCATTATGCTCCAGTAAGCAGCTTCTTGTTTACAGTGGCGGATGTCAAGTCTGTACATGTTCATCTGGATTGTAGTTCATTTCACAAACTCTAGTAAAATACATATGGAGTTTGAATTTCTGGAAGTTTTTTGGATCTATTGTTTTTGCACAGAGTTTATATTATATGTTTGTATAATGCTATGCTATGTCAAGTTGTGGTACTTCAAATTTAGTTTGTGCAATTTATTTCAGTTTATTTGTGTACAATAGCACTTTTATGCATGTATATGGATGTTTGCTGTGCACTATGCTATAAGGTTGCCGTAAGTGACTAACAATTTCAAGTTGTCTACACAAGTGTCATTAATGTGTATGGAGGTACAGTATACTGACACAAGCTTGCTGTACTTTGCTAATGCACTTTCATATTGACACAAGATTGTTTTGTTTTTGTACTTTTATTTCTGAGAGTTTGTTTACCATCTTTTCGTGCTGCACTGTTTTCTATTATTAACCACTTCCTGGCCATCCTATAGCAGAAATACTGCTACAGGGTGGCACAAGTGCGCAAAATCACATATATATGCTTAATTTTGCATTTCTGGGTAGGGGGGTGCGCCCAACCCGTGCTGCCATTCACGGCTGTCAATCACCAGGTCCCTGCCGGTGATTACTGGTCGGCGCCCGGTGATTGTCGAGCATCTCCAATGGAGAGGAGAACTGTTTGTAAACAAAACGGTTCTCCTCCCTGTCAGCTCATGCACACTGCTTTGGATGGCTGTGCACAGCACAGCAATGCAAAACAGTGTGCCTATAGTGAAGCACACGAACACAGCCCCTAGTAAAACAGCACACAGTCAACCCTTTGATCGCCCTTCATGTTAGCCCCTTCCTGCCCAGTGCCATTAGTACAGTGTCAGTGCTTTTTTTAGCACTGATCACTGTATTGGTGTCACTGGGGATGCCAGTGACACCAAGTCAGCTTCCCCCCAGTGTCAGAATGCCCGCCGTAGTCAAGCAGTCCCGCTATAAGTCACTGATCACTGCCATTACTAGTAAAAATAAAAAAAACTTTTACGCAAACAAATTTAAACGGATTGGGATTTTTTTTTAGTAAAGACGTAGCAGAATACCTTTTGGCCTACATTTATGACGAAATTTGATTTTTAAAATTTTTCCACTAAACATGTTTAATAGCAAAAAAATTAAAAATATTTTATCATTTCCATAGGCATTTGAGGAGCGTTAAAAAAACGCCCCTCAAATGTCTGCTTTCAAAACTAGTGTGAACTAGCCCTTAAGTATATCATATTTGTTATTTAAAAAAAAATGGCTACAAACACTTTAAGGCTGCTTTCACACTAATCCATTTTTATTCATCTTTTGCATTGAAAAAGCAGAAGAAAAACATGTGACCATGTATTTCTATGGAATTCTTCACACTGATCTATTGCGGGTCAGGTGTGTTATTAAAAATCCTGCTTGCTGCATTTTTGGTGCAGGTGTGGTGTGGTTAAAAAAACGCTCAAAAAATGCACCTTCCCATTCACCACTTCCTGTCTGCCCTATAGCAGACGTACTGCTATAGGGTGGCATGGGTGCACAAATCACATATATATATATATATATATATATATATATATATATATATGTGATTTCGCATTTCCGGGTAGGGGGCACGCACATGCGCTATCCACACCACCATTTGCAGCTGCGGCTGTCAACCACCGGGTCGCGGCCGGTGATTACTCGCCGGCGCCAAGTGATTGCCGAGCATTGCAAAGCAATGTGCTTACAGTGAAACACACACACAGCCCCAAGTAAAACAGCACACAGCAGACAGTTAACCCCTTCTTGCTCAGTACTATTAGTACAGTGTCAGTGCTTTTTATTAGCACTGATCACTGTAATGGTGTCACTGGGCATGTCAGTGACATCCAGTCAGTTCCCCCCAGTGTCAGAATGTCTGCCGCAGTCCCGCTATAAGTCACTGATCGCCATCATTACTAGTAGGAAAAAAAAATTCCAGTATATATACCGCCATTTGTAAAAGCTCTAACTTTCACGTAAACCAATTAATTTACACGTACTGGGATTTTTTAAGGCATGTCGCAGAATACATTTTGGCCTAAATGTATGATGAATTAGATTTTTTTAATTTTTACAGGACATGTTTAATAGCAAAAAGTCAAAAATGTTGTTTTATCTTCAAAATTGTCGGTTGTTTTTTTTCTTATAGTGCCAAAAATAAAAAATGCATAGGCAATCCAATTGCGCTGTAACGCAAAAAAAGCTTGGTCAGGAAGGGGGGTAAATCTTCTGGAGGGCAAGTGTTTAAAATCAATGGAAAACGTGGCAAAAATGCATTTGGTGTGGTTTTTGAGTAACGTCATATTAAAAACACACCAGAAATTATGTAAAAACACGGCAAAAATGCATATACAGTTTTGACGCAGATCAGTGTGCAAGTAGCCTAATGGTTACAAAGCTTCATTATTTATGTCTTTTATATTTGCCTGGAATTCAGCATTTCTTGTGTAAAATGTATATTATTACAAATACTATAAATAAATAGCATTTTGATACTATCACTGTGTTTGAATAAAAGCTTATCTGTAATGTGCTAAATGACTAGCCCTGTAAAACCGCTGAATTCTCTGCATTAAAACTCTAATAATGTAATGCTGCTGAGGCCTCTTACCTTTCTTTATATCCTGCTTAGCGGACAAGTACTCTTTTCCTTGTACGCATGTAGAGGTAATGTTATTAGCGGAGGGAGGGATGTATGTACCATGCTCCATCACCTCTCTATAGTTACCGTAGGGAGTGGAGTGGTATGAACTCCGAGAGATTGATGGGGCAGCTCTACCAACTCCCAGTAATAATTGTTCATAGAAGCTCCTCCATTGCTCCAATGCGGTCAGATAATTATGTACTAGAGCTAACAGCAACATATGGACTAGGGAATAATTTAACCTGGATTCAGCACAGAGGAAGGAAAAAAAAATCGCTACGAAATATAAAAAAACTAACAGCTACAGATATATAATTAATATACTGAGAATTTACGGTTCACAATGGCCTTCATTTATATCTATAAAGAAGTATAATTAATATATTTTTTTCTGCTCACAGTGGGACTCATTTATAATATCTGGAGCAGAGGAAAAATAGTAATGTTTGCCATAGAAACCAGCTGGTTGAAAGCATTTTGAACCTGCACTAGAAAATCACTGCTTTGGGCTGTGGGCAGAAACCTAGATGCTTATTTAATAAGAAGTAGAAGGATTCCATAATGTGCAGAGATTCAAGTTATTATTGCATTCCCAACTAGCCTGCTAAATATGCCTGTTGTGAAGATGTGTATTTGCTTAGTGACAGTTCATCAAAAATAAGAGAATTTCCCATGTGCTCCTTTCTCCCAACAGTTTTTTTTTTCTTTTATATATAGTAAGTGCCAAATATAATTTTTTTATATTTTTACAGTGGCCCTTACACTTATGCTTTCCTAACCTAGGCAAGCCTCCTGGTATATCCATGCCACATGTACCAGTATTTCCACTAGCATCACAGCATCAACCAAAAAGTAGGAACATAGGACTTTGAAGGTACAGAAGTATACATTTCATAGAAATTGTAGTTTAAAAGACTCAATATATTGTAGATGTAGCACTACCCCCTTAGGAGTTGCTGAATTGTTTTCCGGTTCCCTGTGGATCTGGACCCGACTCTGAAAGCCCAACCCCTGCTGACACCACAGTACACTCTTAACGGAAAAAATGATCACCAGAAAGTGAATTCACACATGGATTGAAGTAAACTAGTAAGAGGCTTATAGCAAACTTCAGTATGGCTGGGTTACACAGCATAAACAGAATTGGAATGTGTAAAATCAATTGTTACTTGTGTTGATTTGAACTTAAGGAAAAGACAACACTTATTACAGAATCTCAATTTAGTATTTGCAGGCCTGCTTTTCAGAAACTAACCTAATACCTTCAACCTGAGGTGGTTTTATAGTCCTCATTGAGCAGCTAGGATTATCAAACAGGTAGACTAGCTCACTTTGGGCCCTCAGGACGTGATGGCAAGGAAAAGCCTGAAATAAGGAAAAGTGTTCTTTACCCCAAAACAACCAATGTTCTTTAAAGGCACTAAAGAATCTTCTGCGCACATGATGGGACCCAGTTGGTGCACAGTGAAGAGAAGTGTGGACTGTAATCCTCTGAGGAACATAGTAATAAAGAGAGGGAAGAATAATGGTTAGGACTTCCGCCTGGCAGTACTAGGCCGTTGGTTCAAATCCCAATCACAGTATCACTTGCCTGAAGTTTGCATGTTCTCCCTGTGCCTGCATGGGTTCTCTCTGGGTACTCAGGTTTCCTCCCACACTCCAAAGACATGCTGGTAGGTTAATTGGATCCTGTCTAGATTGGCCCTAGTATATGTATGTATGAATGTCATTTAGGGACCTTACGCCCCTTGAGGGTTAGGGACTGATGTGAATGTACAATATATATATGTAAAGTGCTGCGTAAATTGGCGGCACTATATAAGTACCTATAAAAAATAAATAACAATCCCCCTGCAAGCAACAATTTTACAGATGTAATGTTCCTTCAAGGCACTAATCACTAGCGAATCTAAAACAACAAGTAGCCAATCTGGTAAAAGTGATTGTTGGCACAGGGCAACTCTTCTTTGGGCTACAAGATTTTTGGCACAATAGGGAAAAGACCTCCTTAGCAGAGTGAATTGATGATGATGATGGTGACACAGCGGTGGTTTGGCCTGTGGACGACTATCCTGCTCTGATGATAAGACTAAGCGTAGTCAGACAATAGCAGCTAAAGAAACTAGGCTGCAACATCTAATAACTATGTGCAATGTCTGCAGCTGTATACAGGAAAATAGCAAAGGTGGAGCAGGTGTCAGTATTTCCTGTCCTTGTTAGTGCTTTGGACTCTCTCACCTAAGGGATGTTGTCTGGAGAATTCTGGTGGTCTTTCTCCACACACTCTCCACACACTCTCCAGTTCCGCCTGCAGCATTCCATCCAGTCACCTGCTAGCGGATATATATACACCTCTCCCCACACACCAGCTCCTCTGGGAAATGTAGTTCTTTACCAAACTGCTCCTTAGTAAATTCCTGCTGTTCAGCATACAAGATCAATGGGGCCTCTCTACAGAGTGTGAATGCCACTATTCTGCAGGACTCTTCCATCTTGTGTTTGTTTTAACATCCTGCATCAAGACTTGTAGTAGGGTGTTACACAGAGATAGGGCTGGTAATGTATACATTGTATGTTTGCTACATCAAAATATGACATAAACCTATATAGATCACATTTGGCCTATATCTATAACACGTCTAGAAACGTTGACAGGGGGTCTGTTTGTACTAAGGGTTTGCGCTGTGGGGGTCTGTCTGTGCTGAGGGGTCTGTGCTGGGGGGATCAGTCTGTACTGGGAGTAGAGTCTGTACCGGTGTTTTGGGCTGGGGGGGTCCATCTGTACAGAGTGGTGTGTGTTGGGGAAGATCCTTCTGTGCTGAGAGGTCTGGGTTGGGGGAGTGGGGTATTTCTGTACTGAGTGTTTGTGCTGGAGGGGGTTTGTCTGTGTGCTGAGGGGTAATTCTGTGCTGAAGGGGGGATTGGTCTGTGATGCAGAGGGGAGTCTGTACTGAGGGGTTTGTGCTGGGGGGGAGTCAGTCTGTGCTGGGGAGGGGAGTCTGTACTGAGGGGTTTGTGTTGGGGGGCCAGTCTGTGCTGGAAGGATATTCTGTACTGAGGGGTTTGTGTGGGGGGGTCTGCATTGAGGGGGTAGGGTGGGATGGGGGATTTAGGGATGTACTACATTATAGACACTGAAAGGAATTGATCTAAACTGAAGCAGCCAGAAAATGGAGCAGCTGTGCATGGCAACCAATAAGCTCACAGCTTTCATTTTCATTTTCAAAGTTTAAAGTGATAATAAAGGCAATTTAAAACAAATAAACATGCTTACCTGCTTTGTGCAGTGGTTTGGCACAGAACAGCCCCTTTCCTACTCTTCTTGGGTCCTCTGCCACCGTTCCTGACCCCTCCCTCTTGCCAAGTGCCCTCAGACCAAGCAGCTTGCTATGGGGCACCCAAGCAGGCTCACTCCCGAGCCGCTACTCTGCATTTCCACTCTGCGGTTCCGTCCTGTCCTCCCTCTCCCCTCATTGGTTTACTGGCTGTGAATAACAGCAGCAGGAGCCAGTGGCCAAGGCTCTCATGCTAATCACTGGATTGCAATGGGTCTTAGGTAAGTATTGGGGGTGGGGGCTGGAGGGCTGCACAGAGAAGGTTTTTTTACCTTTATGCATAGAATGCATGAAGGTAAAAAACCATAAGCCTTTACAACCACTGGACAAGTTGAAGATAGACAATTTCACAGTTACATTGTCTTTATGCCAGTGAAAATAAAATAGGAAGTTATATTATTTGTTTGGATTGTTTGGATTTGTTTTGGATTTGTTCTCCTGAAAAGGAAGAGGGACAGTGGGGCACTATGGAAATTATTTTTTCTCAGGGTATCTGTGTGATTGTATCCAGTAAAAGTTTTAGAAAACTGCACCATATCTCTGGTTTGCCATGTCTTTAAATGTTAATCAGGCCAATCGCAGACCGAATTCTCTAGAGACATGAACGTATATACGTGTACATTCAGGCATTGTTAGAAGATTATCACATAGAAGTGGTAGGCAGCCGAGTTTTAATATATAGTGAATCATTGTAGCTTCTGATAAGTAAATGCCAGGACATTATTTCCAGCTGTTGAATGAGATTATTTTTAGGATTTCATTAATATTTGGATGTATCTGGAATTATTATTACTTGTTTCTGCAAATTTGAAATGAACAGTTTTGTTAAACTCATCTTGCTTTGCCTGCAAACAGTGGAAATGCCATTTGGAAAATTACATAAAAGGAAAATATAGTATTTTGTATATATTTTCATT